GGTCTGCAATGTTCCATCTATCTATTTTGTAACATGGTCATTTGGAAGAACCCATTGTCTGAAAAATGATTATTTTCTTGATGCTTCATATTAGATTTTGGCTGTAGCTTAGATAATCCTCTCTGCCTTTATTCTGAAAATTAGTTGTAAAATCTCAAGACCCCCAATTTCTTCCTCCAAAAGGCGATGGTCTCTTTATCAGATCCAAAGTCAATGTCTTTTGACCATGGTAAGTGGCTTTGACCTAATTATTTGCCTCATGGTTATGTGTCATAATTCACTTCCATTTTCAAATGTATTAATATTTGATCAATCACCTCTTCTAAATGTAAGTATTCTCACCATTAAACTTCTACTAGATTCTCTGTTTTTGAAATAAGTATCCTTTAACAGCTCCACTAAGATATAATTGACAAAAGTTGTATATATTTAAGTAGTACCACTTAATGTTGTGAACCGTATACATTGTGAAATGTTCACAACAATCAAGCTAAATAATATATCCATCATTTTGCATAGTTGCCATCGTCTTCATTTATTTTGTGATGAAAAGGGTTAAGGTCTACCTTCTTAGCAAATTTCAAGTACACAAGACAGTATTGTTAACTATAATTATTGTGATGCACAGTAGACCTCCAGAACTTACTCATCATATGTAACTGAAACTGTACACTTTTACCACAAAACCCCATTACCTCCTCTTCTCAGCCCCTGACAACCACCATTCTACTCCCCGCCTCTATAACTCTGACTGTATTCTCTACTATATATAAACGATATTATGCGGTATTTGTCTTTCTCCATCTGGCTTATATCACTTAGCAAAATGTACTTCAGTCTTACCCATGTTGTCATGAAAAAAAAGTCTCCTCATTTTTAAGGCTTAATAATAATGTCTTGTGTATACATTTACCAATTTTCTTTATTCTTCACTGGACACGCAGATTGTTTCCATATATTGCTTACTCTGATTATTTTTTTTCTTTACCGTCTATTGTAGAAGTTCCTTAAATATTTTAGAAAATAATCCCTTAAATAGTTTGCAATTTTTTTCCACTTCATAAGTTCCCTCTTCACCCTATCGTTGGTTTATTTTTATGTGCAGAAGCTTTTTGTTGGGTGTCATTCGTCTTGTCTGTTTTGCTTTTGCTGACTCTGCTTTGGTTTTATAACCAAGCATGTATTACCAAATATTTTACCAAGACCAATGTCAAGAAGCTTTCCTCCCATGTTTTCTTTTCTTAGTTGTTTTACAATTTCAAGTGTTACATTTAAGTCTCCAACCCATTTTGAGTTGATTTTCAAGTATGGTATAAGGGCTCAACTTCATTCTTTTGCATGTGGAGTATCTAGTTTTTTCAGGACCGTTTATTGAAGAGACTGTCCTTCCCCCGCCACTTCATGTTCTTGGCATCCTTGTTCAAGATGAGCTGGCCATAAATGCACGAATTTATTTCTGGGCTGTCTACTCTGTTGCATTGATCTATATCTGTGTATTTCTGCCAATGCTATACTGAATTTTTAAATTGTAAACTAAGGAACAAATAAGGCAAATTTCTCTCTGCCCTTCAGTTTAAAATTTATTTATATGGATATCATAAAACAGGAAAATATATCAATATACACATATGTGGGTACATGTATGACTATGTATACACATATATATGTATACCTCTATTTATATTTATATAACTATACACATATGTGGTACATGTATGAATATATATACACATATATACATGTATACCTCTATTATACTTAAATATATGTAAACTTATAAATACACACACATATTTACATATATACATATATTTACATATATGTATATATACTTATATGTATATACATATGAATATATACATATACATACACACATATACATATAGGTGTATGTGTATATGCGTATGTGTATATATGTGTGTATATGTGTATATATGTGTGTATATGTGTGTATATATACACCTATTTACATATATATTTATGTATAGAGAGAGTGGTGTTAGGTCGGTGCAAACGTAATTGTGGTTTCTGCTGTTACAGTATACAAAAATGCTCAACTTCACTAATTATCAGGGAAATAAAAATCAAAACTATAATAACGTATCTCCTCATTCCTGTTAGGATGGCTGCTATCGAAGATAACAAGTGTTGACAAGGATGTGGAGAAAGTGAACCCCGGCACATTCTTGATGAGGATGTAAACTGGTACAGCCATTATGAAAAATCGTAGGGAGTTTCCTCAAAAAATAAAAATAGAGCTGTCACATGATGCCACAATTACGTTTGCACCAACCTAATAGAATACTTTTCTTAGAGAAGAGATGCTGCTTTGTCCCTTAAAACTTAGTATAGTATATGATTCTTGAAGTAAGGACCATATCTTATTCCTCATTATAATTTCTTAACATGTTCCTCAAAGCCTACCCTAGGACCTTTACATGGAGAAGGTAGTTTAAAAATACTTTAGGAAACATACGCCTCTAGAAGTTACCTAACCTAAAGATTACTTGGATACACTTTGCTTTGTGTAGAATATTTGAAATACATTAAGAGGAGAATATTATTTCCCAATAACATTTCTCATTACTTTTAGTTTATGCATTCTGACTCAATTGTTTATGAAGTGGGACACACTGAGAAAATCTAAAGCTTTTAATTGAATTATTTTGAATTAATCATCAAATTAATATAACCTCTGGAAAAAAATAAGTTTTCTAAAGTTGAGTTTAATGCTGCTCTTAGTTAATGGTTACAAATTTTTTTTTTAAGGAAATCAAAGTAGAAAACATAGTAAAGGTCTTGTGAAGTTTTAAACTGTTTTTTAAATTATTATTATTATTTTTGCTTTCATCTGTCCCTAAGACATGGGCAAAGCAATGTTTGCAATGTTTACAAGTATTTTACAATTTTCTAATTTGTAGGTTTGTTACTTTTGTTATTTTCAAAATAAACTAAGTAGAATATTGGTTGTTTATTACACTCCTGATGCACATATAAAGATACAATAATTAGAGTATTACCTCGGTATTTTCTATGATTGGAGTCTGCTTTGCTGTGTTATATTTTACAGTGAACTTAATACAAGTCTACATAAGTTAATATTGGAACCTATTCATCAATAACCCCTTCACAGACCCTGCATAATTTCTATTCATTGCTATATTATGGGCAAAGCTTTTCTAATATAGTTATATAACCATGATTGTAGATAAAGCCACAGAAGTTTTTTGTTTTTTGGTTTTTTTTTTCGGTTGTTTGTCCTTAATTAGTGTTCTGAAAAATTATATCTATTGCATGAGGTATGAATTTTATACAACTGTTTTACTGTGATGGAATAGGGCACTCAATAACATTAATTAAATTAGTACAAAAGAAATCTTTTGGAGTTTATCTTTCATTAGAAATTTAAAAATATATATTCATTGAGATTATCTTATGTAAGTAACACCTGTCATATACCTAAATGCTACAATTTGAAAGTAGAAAAGAGCTATCAGAATAGGTTTAAGGAATGTTGCATGATTCTAAGCAATATGTTTCTGAGACCTGTTATATCGTGTTAATATGAGAAATATGCAAAGTTATTATATTAGCATCACATACCTCCTATATCCCCCAATAATGTCATTTTTTTTTACTCCTTTTATAATGGTTCTTACATCCTCTATTATTAGTAAAAGTTAATGAAGATTCATAATATTACTCATTTGGGGAGTACAATTGGTTCTCCATATTCTTGGGTTCTGCATCCATTGATTCAACCAATTGCAGTTAGAAAATATTCAGGAAAAAAATGCTGAACATGTACAGACATTTTTTATTATTATTTCCTAAACAGTATAGTATAACAACTATTTATATAGAATTTACATTGTACTAGGTGTTATAAGTAATTTAGAGATGATTTAAAGTGTAAAAGAGGATGTGCATAGGTTATATCCAAATATTAACACTATTCTATATAAAGGATATGAACTATCATGGATTATGGTATCCATGGGAGGTCCTGGATGGTATTCCTCATGGATACAGAGGAATGACTGTATATTATTTTGGTAGGAATCTATGATAAAAAAATTTTAGCCATTATTCATCTGGCAGGTGAGCATATGGATAACCCTAGAATTTCAGGAAATAGTGTTTATCCACTGTAGTGGTAAATATTGATATCTCTGATTTTAGAGGTTCCATGATAAAATGTATTCTGAATTGAAAATAAGATCTTATTGACGTTTGGTCAGTCTATTTTATATTAGACCTCTAGTGCATTCTAACTTATTGGTTGGAAATACTGTATAATTGAATTTCACTTTTCCTGTTGTGTTTATACTGGAGTCTCAGCTACTAAAAGATGTCACATCTGAAAAGCATGATTTTAAAATTTGTATGTTTTCTAGGATGAAACTATATCCAGTTTCATTACAACTGTTTTAGAGTCAAATACCGGAGTGAATTTAAATCATCATTATTACTCCTTGAAAATCAAGTATTAAAATGTGCAAACAACAGAATCCCTTTCAAATTGTAAATGAAACCAACCAATCAAAACTGTTCTTAAAATTTTCTAACCTAAAGAATTTGATATCACTGCCTCAGGGTAATAGAATCAGTGCCTGTAGTATACATTGTTGGTTAAAGTAAGCTGGGCTCTAAGTCACTTTTTGCCTGAGGCTGACCTGGTAGTGCTTCTGGCATTTTATGTTTGTTTGTTTTTTGAAAATACTTCAGTGGGTCTTATTTAGAAACTGTTAATACACCTTCTTATAGTAACGTAAAAAGGAGACAGAGCTTAGAAATCTACATAAATTAAGTATTTTTCTTTTTTGTATGTCTCTCTTTTACTAAACCAAGTCAACTTAGTTGGACACAACTTTACTAAATTAAAGCTTATGTTAGAAATTGAGTAAAGTAGTGCTCCTCAAGGTAGCTGCTCTTTGAACTATCTGTTATTGGTCCAGGATGAGATAAGAAGCTTGAGAGAGAAAGTAAATAATACTTACTTTTTTGAGAATGTCTTGCTATAGAGAAAAGCAAAAGTCATCGGAAATAAATAGCATGTTTAGTCACAAAGTGCTTTACATTCTTGCACAAGCTCTTTATCTCCTTGCCATTTACAACAAACATTCCACAGACCAGCATGGATTAGCAGATCTTTTTTTTGTTTTTGTTACGCTGCTATAAAGGAAGCACAGATATTAGCAGTTAAACCTCTAAAAGAGCTGGGTTGAGATGAAATAATATTTTATTTTACTTCCAATGAGAATAGACTATGCAATTCATTAAGACATATGGAGGAAAAAAAACATTAATCTTGAATATGGATTCAAATTTCAAAAATTTGCACATCATCAACCCAAATTATAGATGTTGATGGCCAATTCTATACAATGCACCCAAGGATAAATTTAACAGCAATTAATTTATTTACTAATGCTGATTATTATTCTGTCCAGCAATGAAGAGAAGGCTAATTTTAAAGAAATTCATAGAATAATTTTGAGTAATACATACTTAAGATTGATTAACTTCCATAGTTACATACTTATATAGAGAATTAGATTTTTTTTAAATGGGCTGAATTTACATTAAACATAAATTCTATGTCTATCTTGATAATAAAATTAAACTAAACTGAAAATTAAAAATCACATTGTGGGTGGTTTCTAGAAGTAACCTATTCCATTTCCCTTTACTATAAAATGAAGTTGTATCACGTGATTTATAAAGTTCCTACTGTATCAGAAATCTCTTATTTGCTGTAATGAGTGGTATCATTTTCTTTATTTGCAAACTGCAGTTTGGTTTATGAGTATAACTTCAGTTATATTTGTGCTAAGTGGCTTCATGGCCTTGAACTATAGGAGCTTAGAACTTTACACATCAAAATAATAAAGCGTAATATACTATTACAAGTTATACATACATTTAACAAATGACATTTGCAAACATATCTTAGAAGAAAGGAAAGGGGAATTTATTTATCTAGGCAATGCATTGAGTCACTTACCACCTTCAAGGTTTTAAAGTGCTGACATTTTTAAAAACTCAATGAACTTTAAGTAGGTGCACTCCTCCTCCCCAACTCGTATGTAAAACTCTTAACTCCTAATGTGACTGCATCCAGAGTTAGGGTCATTAGGAAGCGATAAAGGTTAAATTAGGTTCTAATTCAATAGAATTGTGGCCATATAAGAAAAGTAAGAGGTTATCTGTCTTTCTTTCTCTCTCTCTCTCCCCTCACAGATAGAAGGCAGCTGTCTGATAGCCAGGAAAAGAGCCCTCACCAGGAATATCTAATGGTCTGGCACCTTGATATTGGATTTCCCAGTCTCCAGAACTATGAAAAACAAATTATATTTAAGTCATCCAGTTCAAGGTGTTTTGTTATGATAGTCCAAGCAAACAAATACGAAATTTAATAACATTTAAATTTAAATTAATGTTTACAAAATTAATTCTACAAACTATGTTAAACTGTGACACGTGAAATCTCTGTTCATTGAGTAAAACTAAATTTTACACTTAAAAACACATTTATTTTTATTCTGAAAAATCTCCCTTTCTGGCTCTTATAATAGTAATCAATTTGAGCTAATAATATAATTTAATATAAAAAGGAAAATTAAAAATGAAGGTAGGAAAAACATTTCCTTTGTCTTAGTTCCACACAACCAAAAGTAAATTTCAGTACATTACCAATTTGTATTTAAGAAATATACTGTACTTCTTTGGAACATTTTTAGGAATCAGCCTGTTAAATTCTTTTTTAAAGATGATGATTTTGCTCTTTATTTCACACAAGTTCCATTCCCCTAAAAATTCCAAAAATCATATTTATTAAAATTAGATCTACTTAAAAATAATATAGCACAGTAAAATTGACAAACGAGTACACACACACACACACACAAATTATCCTCTGTGTAGGCCAAGGGCAAGCATTACTAGAACAGTGAAACAGGTTTACTCCACAATTAAATGTTATTGAAATTTCAACTAACAAACAAAAGGTACACATCAAAATGGCCTGATTTTTCAGACTTCACTAAAAAAATCCCCTGGGATATATTTAAAGATAAAGATGAGAACAAATTCTACTGAAATTTAGAAAATTCATAACTTAAGGATTAAAGAAATATTTATAGTGTTTATAATATTCAATCTTTCCTTCAAAGTGTGTCTCTGAGCACATAATTCTGTCTTCTCTAGACAAATTTCATAATTAAGTGTACACATACATATATGTAGTGTATATAATATATATTATATACACATATTATTTTATATTTTATTTTAGTAGCTATGTATTTAGTATACATTTTAGTTTTCATTCTTCTTTGTCTTGTTTATTTTAACTATGTCTCCTGTAGAAAATACATTTTTGGATCTCATTTCTTTGTACATCTGAAGATTTCTGTCTTTTAGTGTGTTTAACTCACATCTGTTGTAATTAATATTTTGTTAAAAATTTTCTGCCATATTTATTTAGTATTTTTAAAATATTTTATTTAGTTCTGCTTATTTATTATTGTTTGTTTTTCATTTTATCTTTTCCATTGGCTGAACCATGTTTTCTTCCACTCTTGTTATGTTAATTGCCCTCATTTAAGACCCACGCCTATATATATTGACTCTATCTGTATCTTACATTTACCAATATTTGCATCTTTCCTACTACAAAAAAAAAATACTTTTGCACAATTATAAGTACTTTTTCTTCCAGCCTTCTCCACACATCATGTAGATATTTTCTGGAAGTTTAATTCTGGGTTATTATTAGTATAAGTCATATTTTCCTTTGCACAAGGCTTTTATGAGCATCAATAATAAATTCTACCAAAATGGTTTTCCAACCTTACTTTAACCAAGTCTCACTGCAACTTCATAATGTTTACTGTATTGTCTGAGTACTCTTTAAAAATTATCTTTAACATGTATCTCCATGACAACTATCTAATATGTTTTGTTGGATTTTTATTATGCCTTCTAATTTAATTAGTAGTTATACTTGATATAAAATATCTAGTTTCAAATATATTTTTGTGCTTAAAACCATGCACACACACACATATACACTCAGCTGTGTTTTTGTATGTGCTGTGGTTACTGAGAAATTTGTTGTCTGTATAATTCTTGCACATATCAGTAACCTGTTCTTTCTCTTGGGCAATATTTATGGTTGTCTCTTTGTCTTTAATATTCTTAAAACTTATCATCATGTATGTGACTGTTTTTATAAGCCCTCATGGGCATGCTTTCAATCAGTTGTATTTCTTCTTCCTTTAATTTTCTAAAACTTATCTTCAATATTTATTCCAATATTTTCTCTTCCTTCTTTAATTTTTTTCTTTCTCTGCTGCCTTTTAACAAAGGTAATTAGTCTATCTTTCTCAACTCACTTGTTCATTTTACAGCCATATTCATCTAATTATGCAATAATCATTCATTTCAATAATTTTAATGTATTACTTAACACTGATAGCTTTCTTTTTCTGTCTCTGTACACCCACATATGGGTGTGTAAAGGTATATACATAGATTTACTTTTTATTTTATAATAATTTTAAATTATTTTTCTGGCTGTTTCAATAATACCATTTTAATTTTTAAGTAGAACCTATTATATTGTCTTTAAAAAATCTATTTTTCATGTGAAGTTATTTTTACTTAAAAATTTATTTTCTCTATGAAATTATATAAGAGACTATTAGCAGCTGTATAGTCAAGATATGCTAGGGCCTCCTTGGGAAAAATAAAACATAAAATATTGATAGTTTAATGTAATAAAGTTTTGCTTCTCATTCTAGTCAAAACTAATTACATACTGAATAGCTTCTTTCCATCCCATATCTATAGTGTCTGAAAAGTTTAGCTTTTTCTTATCACAAAGACATGACGTGTTAGTCAGGGTCCTCCAGAGAAACAGTAAATGAGAAATGGAAGATATTCTTTAGGGCCAAGTCTGGGAGTGACTATCAAATTATCTGTTCAAATCGCTTGTCTAGAACTCAACCATGTTTCTGCACTGAACTGTAGAAAAGGCAGTATATGTCTCTGAGTACACATATCTCTCTGCAATGGATGCTCCAACTAGTATTTTAGGTCAGTAACAGACTGAAGTCCTATCACCACTTCATGGAAGACCTGGAGAATTTAATGAGAAAGCTACCAATCAGGTTGAGAATTCAGGATTGACATTTCTTCAGAACCAATATGGATCACTCCCACACCCACTTGATAATACTCAATGAGGCAAATATTATGATAAAGATTTCACTTTTTAAACCCTCATAGAGAAGCATCATTGGGAGAAAGCAATTTTCATAATTTATCATCCATCAGCCCTGGGTGTTTGAAAGGAAAATATGAAGCAGTAACTCCTTAGAGGTCTGGTTTCTCCAATGAGTGTTTATCAAGTCCTTACCTATCAGGGCTCTGGCACAACCCTGATATCCTCTTGTCATTTGGGCTAATTTCTGCAATGAAGTGTCAGTTAAAAACTGTTGCAAAAGCAGAATAGAACTTTAGACGCATCAGCCCAAGACAGCTTTGTGTTCCCAAAGGTTTCTTATTTTTTCTTTGTTTTTTGTTTGTATCTGAATTATATTTTTCTTTCTCACTTGTGAAGTCTCTCCGGAATTGATTTTGGAGTAGGGATCTAAAAGCTAAAGCTAGGTCATCATCCTGGCAGAAACTATAAGTTCGAAAAACTATGTCTTTATGCCAGTTATCAATTTTTATTAACTGACATATCCCAAAAAAATAGTATGACTAAATGTGCTTTATCTAAGATTTCAATAAAGATAAAATATATATGTTACATTCTTCTTATTTTGTGACAAATATGACATAGGGTAAATTGGTCAAATATCAAGCTCTTAAAATTCCATCTAGTGTTTTTAGTAACAAATATCGGCAAACACTTTCATTTAAATGCAGTTTTGACAGGAATTACTTCTCCAAGGACTACTTTTTCTTCTGTTTTTCTTAACGTTGTTGATAACTGATAAAATGTTTACCAAGATTATGACTCTTAGAATGAAAAATGATTAATAGATGTAGATTTAAATTATTATGTTCTATTAAAAATGATTTAGTCCTTGATGAACATCTGTTTGGTAATATGTTGTATCCAGATATAGTAAATTAATGACATATATAAAATTATAGGGAAATGACACCTTCAGTTTTATTATGAGGAGAGTTTTTAAAATGCTATTAGTCACAACCTGTCACCTTGTCATTATATAGCATTATGTAGCACTTAAAAGATGTATACCCTTTATTTTGAAGTTCTTTAGAAATTTAAAATATCACTCTTTATGGTTTCTGGTTCTGCATTTCTTTATTGCTAATACGAACACATCCATATGCTTTGATTCAAGCAGGTACTAAAATTTGCTTATTTGGAATAATGATGTTTACTCTCATCTTCTCACCCTTAGCAGGTGTCTTAATTTTAGTACACGTAAGTGATATAATTTCACACTTATAAAAACATGTATTAAAATTACTGGTGATATTTCAAATTGCTGAACAAATTTCTTATTTTCTTAAATTTTCTACCAAAATATGAGTTTTAAAGTTTCTTTCTTTCTTTTTTTTTTTTTTTGAGGGCATTATTTGAGGGTCTTCCGAGAGAATCTAGCAGTGCGGAAGTCTATACTTTTTGAATAATTATTTATGACTTGGTAATTCATGTGATTGTTTCTTTAAGGTTAATGTATTTTGTCTGTTATACGTTATTTAATATTTTGAAAGCAAACTTAAATTATGATTTACAAAATTTATCTTTTTGAGGAAAAATGGCAAAATGACATAAAATGATATATTTGTTCATCATTAATTTAGGTAGTAATTTATCAAATAACTATTGATCATCACTTTGTGGTAGATACTACTTTAGATCACACTGGTCAAAAAAAAAAAAAAGAAAAAAAAACACCTGTCTTTCTGGAGCTTTAATTTGAGTAGGAAGACAAAGTAAAACAAAGCTACCAACCTAAAGAAGGAAATTATATAGTACATTCAAAGATGGTGAGTACAATGGGGGAAAAAAAAGAAAAAAAAATGGATTGATTGGGCTAAGATGAATCAAGATTGCTGAGCTGGGATAGGAAGTTGAAGTTTTAATAGGACACTTAGTGCAGTGAAGCTTAGTTATTGAGAAGGTAATGTTTAAGAAAAAAAGGGCAAAGGAGTTTGCCAAGAACTCTCTGTAGTATGAAAATTCCAGACAAATGGATTGGCAATTGCAAAGGCCATCAGGTTGAATCATGCCTAACATATCTGAAGAGTACTGGGGAGACCACTGGAGCTGCAGAAGTGAATGGAAGAGTGGCAAGTAATGAGGTCAAAGAGGCTAAATGAGTGACTTCATCATGCAAAAGCTTAGATGTCATTATAAGACTCTGGCTTTTATATTTGACAACTTACTATGTGATAGAAATTTTGCTGATGACTGAGAGTTCCCTAACTTCTAGAGTTCTTACTCTAGTAGGATAGATTAAGAAAAAGAGTTTGGGTCACATATCATGTGACAAATATTGTAAGATGCAAGTATAAGAACTCATGAAGACACAGAAATTTGACGAAATGAGAGTGATAAATCTGGTGACTTTCTGTGACTTTACGTTAATTTTCATTTCCTAGGTTTTTACAGTCCTAGAATCACATGGTGTGTAGTCTTTATTGTCTGGTTTCTTCCACTCAGCATAATTATTTTGAAAAGCATCCAAGCTGTGTGTATAAACAGTTCATTCATTTATATGCTAAATAGCATTCTTGTGTATGGACATATCATAATTTGTTTATCATTGCTGTATTGATAGACATTTTCATTTTTTTCAGTTGTTACTGTGCTTATAAGCCATCCATGTATATTTGCTAAAACGGCTGTTATGTATTTGCTAAAATGCATTTGCTGTTATGTATTCGCAAAAATGACTGTTAAGTATTTTCTCCATAGATAAAATTAGGTACACTGTTTTGCTATTAGTGAGGGGAATTTTGTTTCTAATAATGTGAGTAGACATTCTTAATCAAATATAAGATGTGCAAATCCTTTTGAGGCACAGTGATACAGCACCTATGCTGCCACTTCCTCCTCCCCCTTCTTCTTCTTAATTTTCTCAATAGTGTTTTCAAAAAGCAAAAGTTATTATTTTGATTAAGTCAAATTAATTACATACACCCCTCAAAGATATTGGGGGTTTGGTTCCAGAAGAATGCAATAAAATGAATATTGCAATAAAATATGTCACAGTATTTTTTGATTTCTCAGTGCGTATAAAAGTTATATTTACACTATACTCTAGCCTCTTAATTGTGGAACACATTTATGTTTATACAATGTATATACCTTAATTTTAAAAACTTCATTGCTAAAAAAATGCTAAGGACTATCTGAGCCTTCAGTGAGTCATAATGTTTTTTGTGGTGGAGAGTCCTGCCTCGCTGTTAATGACTACTGACTGCTCAGTGTGGTCACTGAAGGTTGAGGTGGCTATGGCATTGTCTCGAAATAAGAGAAATGTTTGCCACATTCATGGACTCTTTGTTTCATACAAGATTTTCCTAGAGCATTCAATGCTGTTTGATAGTATTTTACTGACAGAACTTTTTTTCAAAATTGGAATCACTCCTCTCAAACCCTGTTGCTGTTTTATCTACTAAATTTTTGTAATATTTTAAATCCTTTGTTGTCATTTCCACAGTGTTCATTACATCTTCACCAGGAGTAGATTCCATCTTAAGAAATCACTTTCTTTGCTCATCTATAAGAAGAAATGCCTCATCCATTCAAGATTTATAATGAGATTGCAGCAATTAAGTTCCATCTTCCAGCTTCATTTCTAATTCTAGTCTCGTGATTTCCATCACATCTGCAGTTACTGCCTCCACTGAAGTCTTGAATCTCTCAAAGTCATCCATTAAGGTTGGAATCAACTTCTTCCAAACTACTGTTGATATTTTTACTTCCTTTTATGAATCATGAATTTCCTTAATGACATCTAAAATGGTGAATCCTTTCCAGAAGATTTTCAATTTACTTTGCCCAGATTTATCACAAGAATCACTATCTAAGGCAGCTATAGCTTTATGAAATGTATTTCTTAATTGATAAGACTTGAAAATCCAAATTACTCCTTGATTCATGGACTGCAGAATGGATATTGTGCTAACATGCATGAAAACAACATTAATCTCCTTGTACTTCTCCATCAGAAGTCTTAAGTGACCAAGTGCTTGTCAATGAGCAGTTATATTTTGAAAAAGTCTATTTTCTGAGCAGTAGGGCTTAACAGTGGGCTACAATATATAGTAAACAATGCTGTAAACTACATCCTGCCATTCAGGCTTTGTAGTTCCATTAATAGAGCACAGGCAAAGTAGATTTAGCATAATTCTTAAGGGACCTAAGGTCTTCAGAATGGTCAATGAATATTGTTTTCAACTTAAGATCACCAGCTCCATTACACCCTAACAACAGAGACAGCCTGTCCTTTGAAGCACTGAAGCCAAGTACTGACTTCTCCTCTCCAGCTATGAAGGCCTAGATGGCATCTTCTTCCAATAGAAGGCTGTTGGTCTACATTAAAAATCTGTTGTTCAGTGTAGCCACCTTCATCAATGATCTTAGGTAGATCTTCTGGATAACTTGTTGCAGCATCTACGTCAACACTTGCTGTTTCACCTTGCTTGCACTTTTATGTTATGAGGATGGCTTCTTATTTTAAAACTTATAAACCAAGTTCTGGTAGCTTCAAACTTTTCTTCTGTGACTTCTTCACCTCTCTTGGCCTTCACAAAATTGAAGAGAGTTAGGGCCTTGCTCTGGATTAGACTTTGACTTAAGGAAATGTTTTAGTTAGTTTAGTCTTCTAGGTGGAACACTCAAACTTTTTCCATGTTAACCAAAAGGCTGTTTCACTTTCTTATTTTTAATTTGCTTCAAGTACTTTTTCTTTGCATTCATAACTTGGATAACTGTTTGGTACAGGAAATGTAGCTATCTCAGTTTATAACATCCCATCCTCACTAAGTTTAATTATATCTAGCTTTGGATTAGAGTGAGAGATGTGTGATTCTTCTTTTCACTTGAATGCTTAGAGGCCATTATAGGGTTATTAATTGGCCTAATTTTAATATTGCTATGTCTCAGGGAGTAGGGACCCTCAAGTAGCAGGAGAGACACAGGGCATGGCCCTGTGGAGCAGTCAGAACACACATAATAGGTATTGATTAAGGTTCAGTTTGCAGTGCTCCAAAGAAACTATACTAGTAACATCAAAGATCACCGATCAGCGATCACTGTAATAGATATAATAATAATGAAAAAGGTTTTGTAATAATTACCAAAATGTGATGAATAGACTCAAAGTGAGCACATGGTGTTGGAAAAAATGGTGCAAATGGACCTTTATCATAAGGAGGAAGTTTTTTTATTCATAGTCGGATGAGAGTTTTATCAGGAGTAGGTGCTGGAGTTTATTAAACAATTTATCTACACCTATTGAAATCATCATATGACTGTCCTTTTATAAGCTGTTAAAGCTGTTAAATGTTAATACATGTACTTT